TTTGGTCCGGTAAACCGCGGTCTAGACCAGACCAGGCCAAGAGATCAAATCATAAAATAATACAGATCATGGATCAGACCAGACCATACTTCACGGTCTATGGTCCGGACCAAACTGTGCGGTATAGTTTGGACCACGATTTTTCTAACGGTCTGATCTATTTTCCCAGCCCTACGTGCGAGTCCAATTATGTGTTGCCTTCATAAAATTACAGATCTTATTAGGTTTAATTACATTTGTAGTCCCCATACTATGTTTATTTTAACAAATATGTGCTGGTAGTGTGAATAATTGAGTATCATCAAATAAATCTATGCATTCACAATGTGCTTTTTATTTTGGGTAAATACAAGATATTAGTCAGAATTATTAAACAGCAGAAAATAATAGCCACAATTATAAAAATACTAATTATTAGCCATAACTATTGTTGCTCGTAAACGAATGGCTAACAGTACGTTACTATTATTAACTTTGTAAAAAAAAAAACTTTGTATCAGAAAAGACCACGTTAGTAACCACATCACCATCCACATCACCATCTTCCCTCATCCTCTGCCTCACTGCCGCTTCTGCATCCGCCGCGGCTCATGAACCAGTCTCCGGTGCCGCCTTCATCCCAACTCCCCCGCTCATCTCTGAATCCCGACAAGATCTCGTCTAGGGATGGCAATGAGTCGAGTTTTGTCCAACCCAAACCCAAACCCATGGGTTTATTCGTGAAAAAAACTCGGGGTAAAACTAATTGGGTTTGGAAAACTCAAACCCAACCCAACCCGCTGGGTATCCGCGAATTCATGGGTACCCATGGTTTTTTGTCGTAAAAAATTTACAATAACAAGTTTCTATCAAAATAAAAGTCAAATATCAATATCAATACAAATTATCCATTTATAAAACACCATTCTAGAAAATTTAAACAAATCACAAATTAATCATACAAATTGTTCAACACCAATCTAGAAAACTAAAGAAAATTGAAGCAAATCACAAATTATCCATAAACAACATGATTAATTGAAAGTTTCTTCCTCGTCAATTAAGCTTCTTCACTCTCCACTCCATAATATCAACTTCATTCTACACAATTAGAAAGAAAAAATTAGGCATATCTCCACAAACATAAAGAAGATTAGTTGTTTAGAATATTAAATATACCGGAAAAATTAATTATATGGGTGTGAGCGGGTATCCATGAGTCAGGTTTACCTAAACTCAAACCCAACCCAACGAATAGTGAACGTGTTTAAACCCAAACCCAGCCCAAAACTTGTCAACACGAGTTTTACCCGCGTTGACCAGGTTGGATAGTGTCGGGTACCCGTGGGTTCGGGTTTTGTTGTCATCTCTAATCTCGTCCACCCTCCGCCTCACTGCCGCTTCTGCATTCGTCGTCGCTCATGAACCAATCTCCGACGCCACCTTCATCCCTCTTCCTCCGCTCATCTCTGAATCCCGGTGAGATCTCGTCCACTCCCCTATTCCACCCATCTCCGACGCCGGTAACCGTGCAGTCTTCACAAGCTTTTGAATCAGCTCCCGATCGAAATACACCTGAATCTCGGCCTCGATCTTGATCGCGGCGATTCAGCGATGGAGGATGGATCTCAAGCTGCACCCTACCGGTTTGTTGAAATCCTGATGAAGGATTTCGAAATCCCAATTGGGGTAGTGACACCATATTCGCGAGCTGGTAGATTTTGTAAGCGGCGATTCGGCGATGGAGGATGGAAGCGAGGTGTGAGAGAAGGGAGAAGATCGTTACGCCGGGTTCTGTTTCTAGTCAGATCCCTAGCGGCTTCTCTAAGTAGGGGTGGGCATTGGGTGGGTCGGGTGGATTTTGAGCATAAAATGTACCCACTCACTCTTAAACGGATTGATAATTTTTAACCCACCACCCACCCACATTTAGTCTCGGGTTGGGTCGGGCGGATGGTGGATGATTTGGGTGGGTTTGTGTGTTCACCCACATCACAATGTATATAATATAAAGGAGTCAACTTGACATGATAATAGGCGAAGAGATTTATCTCGGGAAACAAGAAGATGAAATAGGGCGAAAAATGTCGAATTAGTTCTTAAAATGAATAGAAATTGTATTATGAAAGAGTTTTCTACAGATTGAGATGATTATCAGGTGCAAGGAACTAAGAAAAATAATTCCACAAAGGAAAGAGCAGTGATCTAGGCACAAGAATTAGAGGAAAAAATAAAGGGAAGAAGAGGGGATCGCTATTTGGAAGGTTGGCTTTGAGGTTCAGACTCCAGGAGCAGTCCTAGTTTATGTCTAACGTCTCCACTCTCCCCTCTCTAGCGCCGACGACTTTGATCTTTTTGCTGTTGGGTTGAGCGGGTCACTCGCGCACTCACCCACCACCCGGCAGATGGCTCCTAGCGCAACCCGTCACCCACCCATAGACCCACCCACTTAACGAAATTCGGGTCAAATGCTGGTGTGTCGGCCTAAACCCGCGGATGATCCGCCCGCATGCCCAGCCCTACCTCTAAGCGAGTGGAGAAGCTAGGAAATTATTTTTTTTGTTTTTTAATAATTACTTAATAAATAGGTTAAGTTTGACCGCCACGTCAGCATACCATTTGTCAACTTAGCATCATCTAACCGAAGTGTTAACAGAGATTTAACGGTTGGCTAATTTTTTTGTTGTGGCTATTATTTTCCGTGGCTTAATAATTATGGCTAATATATTGTATTTAACCTTTTGGGTGTGCCTACGGTGACATGCATGTCATGGTGACTTGCACTTTCCGGTCGACCTCAGTTAGGATTAGGTCGACCTTATTTACAATTCGGTCGACGTCGTAAAGGATCTGGTCAACCGCATTTAGGATTCGGTCGACCTCATATAGGATCAGGTCGACCTAATCTGTTGTTTCAGTGTAAAAACAGTTCATGGTGCCTACTTTGGATATTCATATCATACAATTGGCTAGATGGAAATTGAAGACTAATGACTTGTTTTGAAGCTGGAGTGTCCCTCTACATATTGAAGTGATTGAGAGCTCGATAGGAAGTCCAGAATACCATTTTTGAACCTCATCAAAAGGCTATACCAAAACTGGGAAACTGCCTGGAAATGGCTAAGTCTGGAAACGTGTTTGTGAAGCCTATTTTGGAGCTCAATTCGAGAAGCATGAATGCGAGTCGAGTCTAGGAGCCTCTACCACGTTAAATTAGGTATGTTTTTATACAAATTCAAGGCATTGGATGAAAGATTGGCTATCTGTAAGACTTCAAACAAAAAGGTCGAAGTTGCTACGAAGGCTGTTTTTCTGGCAGACTTCGAGCACAAGCAAGCTGCCAGAAAAACAGCCTTCGTAGCAACTTCGAGCCTTTTGTTTGAAGCCTTAAAGCTATTCAATCTTTCATCCAATGCCTTTCCTTTGTATAAAAATATACGTAATTTAACGTGGTAGAGGCCCCTGGACTTGACTCGTATCCATGCTTCTCAAATTGAGCTCCAAAGTAGACTTGACAAACACGTTGCCAGACTTAGCCATTTTCAGGCAGTTTCCCAGTTTTGGCATAGCCTTTTGGTCAGGTTCAAAAATGGTCTTCTGGACTTTCTATTGAGCTCCCAAGTACTTTAATGTGTAAGGGGACACTTCAGCTTCAAAACAAGCCTTTAATCTCCAATTTCCATCTAGCCAATTGTAAGATATGAATCTCCAAAGTAGGCACCATGAAACTGTTTTTACACTGAAACAACAGATTAGGTCGACCTGATCCTTTATGAGGTCTACCGAAAAGTGCATGTCACCGTGATATGCATGTCACCGTAGCAAAATCCTAACCGTTTATTTTTGTAGTTTCATTGTTTGTTGATATTCTGGATTCAAATTTTTAGACACTTTTTTTTATATACATCATCACTTATAAAAAAATTGAAGTCTTGTTTTGAAGATTGATGGTGAGAAATGTTATGTGATTCTAATGTAAACAATAGTTAGTAGATTCAATATTCATTTGGAAAATTAGCGTATAGGTATTACGAGTAGTATGTTGTACTTATATTATTAGTGTTGTTATGTACTGCGTTAGAGTTATAATCTTTATAAAAAATCGTACAATTTAGAGTATTTTTCTCCTTCATATTAAAGTATGGGTTACTCGCGGTCGCGGGTACACGTTATCCATCCCATACAAATAATGGGTACCCGTTAACCCATACTGGTTTGGAACATGGAATGCAATTTTTTCTCCAAATAAATAGTGTATCCGTTTCAAATGGGACAGGTAGGGCTGGCTATTTGGACCGGGACCGGATGAAAAACTGGAAACCGGACCGTATAACCCGGACCGAGACCGGACAGGGACCGGATAGTAAACAATCCAATCCAATCTTTGGGCTTAGATTTGAGGTAAAAAACCGGATAAAGACCGGATAAGAGAGCTCAACACCCAAAATTTAAGGGTAATTTGCATAAACGGTCACAAACCTTTACACTTAGTACAAAACTTAACCAACTCCTCACCCTTTTAGGCCTTAGGCCACTCAAATTCCCACAATCTCAATATAAAATCAAGACCGAATTGGGACCGGACCGGGTCAAGACCGGACCGGATCAAGACCGGACTGTATCCAATCCAATCTTCGGTCCTTATATTCTCAAAAAAACCGGACTGGACCGGATCAATTTGGGCCAATTTAACCGGACCGGACCGTATAGCCACCCCTAGGGACAGGTACCTAATCCCCTCTGATTGCCCACCCTTACTCCAAATTCATTTCGACCCATAACTCTGGCCTTAGGGGTCATTTCAACTCATTTGGATGGATCAATTGCAAAAATAAGCAATTTAACCAATTGTCTCGTTTTACAAAATGAGTCACTTCGAATTACTTGCTCCCACCTCAGACAATTCTAATTGCCTCAAAATAAGTCAATTCAGAATTTCCCAGATCAAATTGCTTCATTCAGATTTTCTGCTGCCAAACGAGTCTATCTGACACAATTGTTTCTGACACAATTGTTTCAAAACGAAGCCTGTAATCTCCTCTCTTTTCTGGAGCCGGGTCGACCCGTATACCCTCAACCGCCAGGGGAACGACGCCGGTACCCAGTACAGATCCGGGATCTACTACTACGACGAGAATCAGGCTCGGCTGGCTCGGGAATCGAAAGAGGCCAGGCAGTCGGAATTGAAAGGACAAAAAGGTCGTGACGGAGATTCTCCCGGCGAAGAGATTCTACAGGGCGGAAGAGTACCATCAGCAGTATCTGGAGAAAGGCATCGGCAGAGGCAGCAAGCAATCCGCTGCAAAGGGCTGCAACGATCCCATTCGATGCTACTGCTGAAGAAAAAGATTTCAACCTCTTAACTTATCTGTGGAAAAAATCAGAACGTCTCCTGGTATGTGATCAGGAAAAGTTGTTGCCTTTTTTCGATTTCTGCTTGTGTTTGATCTTTGATTTTCATCAGTAAATGAATGGATATAGTCTATAATTCCAGAAGTAAATCGTGGGTTTCATCAATTCGTATATTGTTATTGTTCATTGCAAGTAGAGCTGCTGAGGTTTTAAGTCACTGGGTACATGAAGTAAGAAGAAGAAAAGTGCTGAAACTGGAAATGGAACTGAAATTAGCATGAGAAATCTATGTCTTCTCTCATGGGTGTATAGTGAATTTAGAGTTCATCTCTGAGAGAAGAAGAGTGGGGGGTTGGGTTGGAGGAGGTTTTGACGGGGTATGAAGCCTCCATTGCTATGCCACAAAGCCCTGTCTTGTCTGAGATGCCTCTCTGCATTCTGATGTAGCCTTTCTCACCCCATTCAGCTCCCCACGAGTTCTTCACAATCCAATACTTGGTTCCATCGACGGTGATTCCGTACCCTACAGCTGCAACTCCATGGTTCAGCTCTGTTCCACAGCTTCCAGTGAACACACCCTGCATTTTGCAAAAAAAAAGAAACCCAGCAGTATCAGGATTTGAAGAGGACTAGAGGGCTTTGTCTCGAAAGAGGCAGAAGATAAACATGAATGACTGAATGAATACCTCTGAGTAGAACTGGAAATCTGAGCTCCCAGCATCGATGGCAACTGAGACAGGCTGGTTTGCAACAGCTTTCAGCAGCGCATCTTCGTCGTTCTTGGGCACATTCTCATGTCCGTCAATCGACACAATTGGTGCATCCTCCTGCAACAACACAAGGGAAAGAATTTAAGTGTAAACCCTTTTTCTGCTCTGTGTATCAAGACATATGCAGCAGTGTAGGGTTTTAGAATGGGGACCTTAACAGAATCACAGCTACCATCTGCAGCATGGTAAGGATACTTGTCCTCCGTGGTAAGCCCGCCGGTTTCCTTGATGAATTCAAATGCATACTCCATCAACCCTCCATTGCATCCTTGGTTCTCTGAAGTGTCGCAGTCAACCAATTCCTGCTCAGACAAGGACACGAGCTTCTTTGTCTTGATATAGTTGATCCCTTCCACTGCTACCACAGTTGAAAATGCCCAGCAGCTACCTGTTACACCAAAATTAAACCAAATGCGACAATTTACCACAAAAGTATTGAACTTTACTGTAAAAAATGCAAAAAAGTATAGAACTTGAATCACTTACCACACTGGCCTTGATTCTTCACAGGGGTAACAGCACCTTTCTTCCTCCAATCAACAGAGGGTGGCACCCTCCCAACATTCTCGTACATGAACGTCTCGTTCCCACGCGGTGCTCCCCTGAACATGACGTGGTGGTGGACCTTGGAGTTGGCGTAAGCATCCTTGAACTCGTGGCTCGTCATGTCGGAGAACATGTTCAGCTTCAGCTTGTAAGGCTTGTCCATCTTGTTGGTCTCGTGAACGTGCATGACGTTCTGCTTGAACACATTGAACCTCCTGTGCTTATCGTCGAGGCTCGTGGAGACGGTGTGATGGCTCCTCCACCTCTCGTAAAGATCCCACAAGCTGTCCTCCGATGCCAGCTCGTGCTCATGGTAGTCGAAACAGTTTGCTACGACGAGGACCAGAGCCAACGACAGAGCAATCAACAGAGATTTCTGTATACCCATTTTTCTTTTTCTTTTCTGTGTGTTTTTCAATGTGCAGAGTGAATGATGTCTGAAGAACTCCTCTAAGGTTGGAGTTTATATAGACAACAAAATGTGTTAGGAATGAAATTGTTGAAGAGAGGGGAGAATAATGACTGAAGAAGTTACAGGTTCCTTATGGGCATCAACAAACTAAAATAATGGAGATTGGGGAAAATCTGAGGTGTGTTTGTGAGAGTGGAGATGGGATAGGAACTAACAATGATAGGATATTGATATTGGTTTCTTCCCCATCTCTTCGGTTTTCTTGCAGAACACGCTATGTACTACTACTAACCCAGGCATTATCGTCTTTTATCAACTGGTAAAAACAGAAAGATGACGAGCAAAGGGTATGGCTTTGAGCTACTTTCTGGCAGGTGGAGGAAATCGTTAGGCACTAAAGTCAGGTTGTGAATTTGTAACTGCTTCTATCGACTTTAACTGAAACTAGCCCATTATGATTCAAGTCATGGGACTTCTACTATCTGGAATCTTGAATCAAAGAATTTAATGAGCACCTAAGGCAATAAATAAGATAGTTTTTTTTCGTCATAATCAATCCGAACTGAAGTTTATATAGTTCTATTCGTAGTTTTCTCTTTTCTAAAATCTTGTAGTTGAGCTATATTTAGTGTAACCAAGGTGAAGGGTGTAAATTTATGCATTTTGACGTGGGAAAAAAAAAACTAAATAACTCTTTCTCTTCCCAGTTAATTGATCACAACTTCATGTTAAAGGAAACTAAAGCTTAGAAATCGATACAATTCGAACCAACACCAATGGGATGGAACAGTGGCTATCAAACAGGTTGCTCGCTTCAGCAATCCAATTTCAATCTTGGTTGTCAAAAGCTGATACCTTGGTTGTTTCGATTTGTTAGCCGCCCAACAAGCTGGCAGTTTCTGACTACAATCTCCAAAATTTGGGGACAGAAGCAGTGACATGTTTGTTTGCTGGAATTGGATAGCGTAACAGGCAGCCCAAATCTCAGTTTCTAATTCAATGGGAAAATGAAATAGACCACCTATGACCTAACTACCAGATCGCTCCTTTCATTATGGGGCAATCGAGAGATCGTACCATCCGAGCCCTTTTCATGCTTTTTTCCAGAAGCCCGGAGAAAGCTGCAATCAATAAGATTTTCTCAGCCCTTTCCCTTCCAAAAGGAATAAGATGGAAAAATGTTTCATGTCCATAGGTGACAATGGCTAGCGTGACTTAATGAACTTGAGACAAACGCTAATCATTGTGTTTATTAGTCTTGTAGCTAACAACAACATGACCATTCTTAGAGATAAGAGGACTAGCGCAAGGCGTGTAATATAATCTACACTATGACAGGACGAAGAAATGGGCTGAAGCAGTTCCCATTCCTTTTAATCACTTGCATGAGAGTCCAAGCCACGTCTATGGTTGGTCCAAAGCAGAGAAAATTTCGTGCCATTTTACAAGCAATAGTATTTGATTGATTCAGTAGTGTGTTGTTGGCTTGGTTGCTTTTACTTTTGCCGCTCTTTAGGTGTGCAGGTAATGCAAGAAAGAATGAGGTGTCCGTCAGGAATGAATTCTGGCAGCAAATTCCTGAATCTCAGAATCTAAAACTGACCTGGCCATTAGGTTTCTTACATTACACTCACAAGCCATTGATTTTAGAGAAAGAGTGCCAACTATGTGAATCTCTGAAAGAGTGTTATGTATTATTATCAGGGTATTCACCACCAACAATCGTGACTAATTTCAATCATCACGAGTCTATTGCCAACACGTCACATCGACCTCAAACGAGGTAAAGAGTACAACAAGGCGATGGTAAGACTGCTTAGTATTAGCAATCCTGGGCCTTGTTGCTCAAACAATATTTCCTTGATATAGAATCCATACAATTGTCTAAGAAACGGAAAGAAATTTGTCGACCCAATTGTTTTTCACTAAACAGTATGGGAGTAGCTTGAAATACTTCCATGGTACCTCGAAGGATACGAGAGAGCAAGGCGGTCTGGGGGACGGAGAAGTGACTCAAGCAAGAGTGTCCTTTTCTTTAGCTTGCTGGAGCAGCTCTGCTCTAACCCTCTTGATCTCCATTGCCTTTTCAAGCCGTTCTTGCTGAAACAATACAAGAGAGATCGACGTTACTGACAAATCTTCTCCTCATAAAGGCGGAACAGCAATGCAAATGTGAACTATGAGGGTGAATTTCAAATAGACTTCCAAACTCAGAGGAAATGCCTTAAAATGGTGCAGAAGACCATATCCCTGGTTTCTGATATGTTCTCTATGGCTTTGTAGCATTAGTTCCTGGTTTCTGGCATGTTCTCTATGGCTTTGTAGCATTAGTTCCCATTTTCACAACCACTTTTCTCCAAGCTTAGTGAACACAGGCAGCACACAGCACCAAACATTTCTACATTTCTTGTGCTCATGAAAATGGCTAAGATTGGTGCAGAAAAGAAGCATATCCCAAAAATTGGTCCTCCTGCATGTTCCCTAAGGCTTTGTAGCATGGGTTCCCATTTTAAAACTGATTTTATTCAAGATTAGCAAACACATATAGTACACAGCATGAAACCCTTCTTGTGCTCATGGAAATGCTAAAGATTGATGCAGAAGAACCATATCCCAAAATTTTGTTCCTCGTGTATGATCCTTAAGGCTTTGTAGCTTAGTTCTCATATTAAAAACTGTTTTTTTTTTTTTTTTTGTTCATGGTAAACACCTACAAAGAGCATCCACAATCCTTTGTCATTTCAGCTCAACCAAGAGGCAAAATGACAAAATCAAACATCTAAAAACCCCAACAATTACAAGTATCACATCCCAGTTCATCCTTGCCTCGCATAATACACCCACAAGCATACATTCGGTAGCTCTCATCCTGCATGTTCCCTAAGGCTTTAGCTTAGTTCCCATAAACCACAAGCATACCTTAGGTAGCTCCATTTCTTCTCCCATAAACAAAACCATAGAAGTAGAAAGAATGACTTAATCTCAAGTATCTATCAACAGCTTTTCTCTATCTGAATCGAATAACCCAATTCACTGAATGTGAAAGCACAATACTGTCAATTGAATTTGCACCAACATTAAGGAAATCAAAGTTCGAATCTCATTTGAGGGTCTCTTCTGCAACAGCTTGAATGCAGTAGGTAATCAAAGTTCAAGAAAAACAAGCAGCTAAAATATGCATATGACTGAAGCTCAATCATCACCTAGCAAGCCTTTTCACAGTGTAAAAACAAAAACAGCCATTTTCTATATCTGAATTGAATTCCCAGGTTTCACTGAAAACTGCTCTATCTTAGCTTTATTTTCATAATCCCGATCCTACATTCACTGGCCCACACCCGAAGATGGGGAAACTCGAAAGAAAATCCATACCCGTTCCGATTATAGAAACGAAGACGGTAAATTGCGACATCAATCGACAAACCAAGCCCTCAGACAACCACAATCCCGTGATGAAGATGAAAACGATGCAGAAATGTGTTGGATGGGTAAATTACCTTCTCATCCTGGTGAAGAGCGATCCAGACGTGAAGCTTATCCATCGATTGCCAGAAGCCGAACGCACCCAGTGACATCAAGAAGTAGGTCGAGACCTTCACCATCTTCGCTTTTTCTTTTTTCCTTCCACTTCTCCTCCTCCTTTGCAAATCTATGTTCGAGATTCGCTTGGCTTCAGAAACATCGGGTGATTTACCAGAAAGAAGGAACTATAATCGGGTAAACGAGTCGGGTTCCAACGGATCCAGGCCAGCCATTTGGGCTATCATTTCCTAAGCCTATTTCTTAACGTTGTGGAGGCCTAAAATAACTCCACCAGCCCATGAATTTTTAGAAATTGAAGCCCATTCGAGTTTGTGAAAGCAACTAGCAAGGAGGAGGCCGCACGCATAGTTCAGCATTCCTTCAGCATATTTTAAAAACACTAGCGTGCCCCCGGCAATTTGGCCGGAGAAAGGTGAGGTATGCAATTTGATAATGTAATAAGGTGTATAGCTTATTGTTGTATAGTTTTTCTTTTTGGAAACACGTAATAAAAATAGTGAATTTTAGTAGGAAAGAGACATGAATGATGCAACGAATAAAAAATCAATCTTATGAACCAAAATCAAGTACCTGTTACCTTGTGAAACAATATTGTTTCTGGTAATATGATGAGGTGGAGTAAGTTTTATAGAAACCGAATTCTAGAAACTTGAATAAAAAATCGCATATCCCGCCGATTTTCGGGAAATGAGCATCGCACAATCGTTGTTAGCTTTTACTCGGCACGTTGGCCGATTAATTTGCTTTATAAAACTTTCATCTTGTCATCATTGTGCTTTCTGGTTTTTTTCCAAGTCATGATAAAATCTAAAGAAATCAAGAATGAACAACACGATTTGGGATTGGAACCACTGTTCCTGTATCCCTAGAAAATGGTGGTAAACACGGACTCACCTGCCAAACTGGTTTGGATTGAGATTTTTATCGAGTATCAAGGAACCATGTGATTATAAATTATACTTGATCAAAACGGGCCAAAACTTGAAATTCAGCTTGTTTGACCAAACCATGCAAAACTCGAATTATTCTTTACTTTTAAACTTTCTATTTGAAAATAAAAATTAATGAAAGAAAAGAGATGACTGCAATTCGCCATTTGCACATCACTGATTCGGGAATAAAATTATAGAATTTCGAAAGGAAACTGAAAATGTTTAGGATCGTTTTAATGTTAAAAATAACCAAATAGATCTTTCTGTTTAGTTTTTTACTAACAAATACTAAACGATTCCCTATAATATACACTATAATTTAATCATTATGATATCAAATAATTACATAATATATTTGAAATGATAAAAATTAGACTAATTGGGTTGGTCGAGGTTGAACCATTGAATAACTTTAAAATACATTATATTTTAGCCACTAAGATATAAAATAATAGCATAATATATATTATGCTAGAGAAAATAGCTTGTTTTAGAATGGCAAACCCATGATATTCATTTGTTTTACTTGATGGGCAAATACCGTGTAGGTCAGGCCCATTCAACTCTTTTATTTTAGGGTTAATACCTTATTTTGGCCCGAATTATGACCATATAATCAACTTTGGCCCGTGGTTTCAGAAATTAACATCCTGGCCCCAACTATGCAGCATATAGACTCAATTAGCCCGACACATGGTTTGACCGTCAATTTGGATGGCCAACACCGTTGATCGTTAGTCAACACGCCATGTCATTGCCTCGTCAGCCTAAACATTATTAAAAAAATCAAAATCAAATTATTTTCCTAATTTCTATTATTTATCATTTTCAAATTAACCAAAAAATAAAATTTAAAAAATATAAAATAAAATTTATTTTTTAATTTTTGGGATATTTGAAAATGATAATTTTATAAATTAACCAAAAATTATCAGATTAAATTTTATAAATTTAAAAAGTATGATATAAATTATATATTTTATTTTTGGGTAATGTTAAATATATAAAATAATTTGATAATTTTTGGTTAATTTATAAAATTAATCATTTACAAATTAAAAAAAAGTAAATTTATTTTATATTTTTTATAAATTATTTTTTTAATTTGATTATAAAAAATAAAAAATAGTATGAATTTGAATTTTTTAATGATTTTTAGGCTGACGAGGCAATGACATGGCGTGTTGACTAACGGTCAATGGTGTTGACCATCCAAATTGACGGTCAAACTAGGTGTCGGGTCAATTGAGTCTATATGTTACATAGTTGAGGCCAGGATGTTAATTTCTGAAACCACGGGCCAAAGTTGATTATATGGTCATAGTTCAGGCCAAAATAAGGTATTAACCCTTTATTTTATTATTAGCGGTTAGCCCATTAGAATCCATGCATTAGTTTATTGTTAATTTTTTTTTCTTTTTAGCAATAAAAGGAGTATTGTTTTTGCCTTTTCATATATATTTTACGACCACGGAGAAATAAAAGGACTTAAAGAAAAAAATTGACACTCCTGGACCCGTTTTAAATCCGCATGTGTACGGTAAGTTGGCCCGTTCCACAGAGGAAAAAGAAAAAAATTGAGACTCCCTATTCTACCCTTCCTACAAACGCTCCTGAAGCAGAGAATTTGAAATGGGGAAAGGGTTTTTTCCTCTCTGCGATTATATATTTTTAATTAAAAAGGTTATAACAAATGTACTTAGTGTGATTGGTTATGATCTTTGCTTTTCTTTAAAGTGGTCATGGTTCGAATCCTACTATGTGTCTTTTTAATAAATAAATAAAAAGTAATTGTGAATACCAAAATGTCCTTCCTACTTTCACTCTGGATGCAGGAAATTTGAAATGGGACTTCAAGTTTTCTCATTTGGATTTTATTTATTGCGTAGATTTCTTTTTAGTTTTGCTTATTAGTTGTAATTAAGAGTGTGCAAACCGGACCAAATTCACGAAAATTATGGTCCAATAGAGAAAGATATTTTAGTATTAGGACCGGATAATTATGTATTTGGTTCGGCTCAAATCGATTTAGTTCATTTTTCTTCAGTATTTATAAATTAATGGGACAGTCCGCATTATATTCAGGTTGGTATTGTCCGGTCCAAACATATTTTTGGTCCGCACAACCCTAGTTGTAATTATTCGATCAAATCTAGGGGTGACAATCGGTCGGTAACCGGTAAACCGGCTACCGACTTTACCGGTAAACGGTATACCGAGTGTGGGCACGAGGGAATCGATTACCGGTACCGGTTTGTAACCGGTTTACTGATTACCGAATTACTGGTAAACGGTTACAAATCGGTTTTACCAACTTACCGACCACATAAGATTAACGAGAGAGAGAGAGAGAGAGAGAGAGAGCCATAGCTTCGCGAAACTCTGTATTGCCGGCTAACAATGTCGCGGGGACGACGACGAGTTAGTAGCATTACATCGACCGTTTCATTTCTTTCTCGTTTTTTGGGTTTTTAACTTTTTCCGATTTCCGTCTCCGGTCATTTTCATGTTATGCATTGAATTAATCTCTCCGCACAGCAGGGGTTGGTTTGCTCCTGGCAGAGGAGGACTAGCGGGAAGGTGGCGGTCAGGCGGAGGACGGGAGGAGGATTGGGTCTAGGAGGCTGGCGTCGGCGAGGGAAGGAGGAAGCCGGAAGGGACACTCCTCCCTCGTCGTCGTCTGGATTTCAAAGAGGGAGGGGGTGCTGTGGCGCCGACGACGCGGCATGGTCTCGTCTCATCGGTCGAGACAGGAGGAGAAGGCGTCCGAGAAGCGGAGTCACGGAGAGGAGAAAGAGAGGCGGCCGGCGAAGGTGAAAACGCGAGATAGGAGAAGGAGAGGCGTCTGCAAAGGGCGAAGCCGAAGAAGGGGTCGTTTTGTTTTTAGGGTTTCCAGGCTGGGGGTGGCAAAACGCAGGGTCCTGGTATCGGTAATACCAACTTACCGTCGGTATTTACCGAGATTGGGGGCGGTAAATTGGATTCCTCAATTATAACTCGGATACCGATACCGCCGATAATCGGTTTACCGGTTCCGTCGGTTACCGGTTCGGTAAAATGGTAAACCGATTACCGGGTTACCGTTTGTCAACCCTAATCATTTCATGTTTTTGAAATTTTGTGTGATTAATACACTTTGACTTCAAGAAAATATAAAATTATTGCTCTTTGTTCATATTTCTTCAAACATTGTCCGAACGATGGTTTAATACGTATATGAATAGTGTTATAGTCAGAAATCTGGATGAGGCGCTAAAAATCTACGCACAAGGAGTTGATCCAAGATAAGTTTATTAGAACGACAAAGAGCTTGTTAAGGAACAATTTATAGTGAGGGAAAATCACTTAGAGAGGGACGACTTGGCAATTGAAAAACCGATGATGAACTTTTCGAATCGGAATGCTCGCTAAAAGACGATGGTAAGATGGCTAGTGAAGATGCATATGATGTCGCAGATGAAGTAATGAAGTGATTGTCGCAAGAAATAAACTGATCATGTGTGCCTGATTTTATGATCAATTAATAATGCAAAATATCGATAACCCAAACGAGAATTTATTAACGATGGTCCCCAAAGTTCAATACGAACCAAGTCAAAAGACTCTTCATAAACCTTTTCACTCGACTGAAAAGATGGACGAGTTGCCTTAGCTTCAATACAACTCACACAAGTGGGTACAAAGTTTGTAACATATGAAATTTTCTATTGCAACATATATTATTTCGAAAAATGCATAGTAAATGAGCAAAATGAGGGTGACCAAGCCGAAAATGCCACAAATTCCAACCATATGTCTTTACCGTAAAAAAACCAATGGTCTAACTAAAAATCCAAAACAACCAGAATCTAAAACGAAAGAATTTTTACCACTATTCCTATCCATGTCCTTTGTGCCCTCGGTAACATCCTTCTGGTACTCATCCGAAACAAAACCTTAACCTTGCTTACATCCTTCCCTGATCATTCTCCCTATTTCTAATCATGGACAATGCATCCATCCATATTAAAACACACATCACAATCTTCCTCTGTAAAATTGAGAAAGAACGATAGAACGAGACACGATTTACGTGGTTCTTCCTCACGTTGTGTGAGGCTTACATCCACGGGAATTTGCTACTGCATATTATTGATCTTCGGCTTGATAGTACAAGCCATATTCTTATACCCTTTTACATCAAAATTATCTAGGGTTACAGAATGAGAACGTGAGCTAGATGGGTCGGCTGGGTCGGCTGGGTCGGCTATGGGCCTTCCCTCTGCATGGGCTGCATGAGCTGCATGACGTGGGCCTGTAGCATCACGTCGGTCCAAT